GCCCCCCCCCACCGCCTGGCTGGGCCTCCCGAAGGCCCGGAACCTCGCCCACCGCCGGCCTGGCCACCGCTCCTCCTCCGGGCCGTGACGACTGGGCAGCACCTCCTTGGCACCGCAGAATCCCATTCACCAGCCGCTGCAGCGACGGGTCTGGACGGATTGTCCCGGGGGCTGCAGGGGGGAGGCCCTGGAGTGCCAGCACCCCCGTGAGGACGGCCGAGGGGGACCTGCGGCCACTGGGGTGGGGGTGCGGGAGGCGAGGGGACCCCCAGAGAGGCCTGCGGGGGGGGGGGAGCGGGGAGCGAGGCCGTGGCCCCAGGTGTGAAAGGAGGCTGGGAGAAGGGCTGCTGAGGGGGAGGTTCCGAAACCCGGGGCGGTGGGGGGACCGCGGGCCCTCCCTCCCACCTCGCAGAGGGGGCCCACGCCCTCGCAGAGGGCTCGGCGAGCCGAGGTCGCTCCGGTAGCCGGCCTGGCAGGCGGGGTGACCGGCGTGTCCTGGCGCACTCAGTGCCCGTGCCCCCCCCACAGCAGGTGCGCGGAGCCCCTGCGGAAACTGAGTCTCCGTCCTCCGACCTCGGGCTGCAGGGGAGAGAAGCGTCTCCTGACCTCCCAGCGGCGGGCAGCGGCTGGCCCTCCGCAGAGCCCCGGGGAGAAGGGGAGGACGCCGGGGCCGGCACCACCTCCGCCTCCCCCGTCACCCCGGAAACGAAGCTCCACCGGGACGCAGCCGCGCCCGCTTGCCGCTGTGCCGCCCGGCGCGGCCGGGCTCCTGCCGCAGGAGAGCAGGTGACCGGGACACCGCATGCACGCGGGGCTCCGTGCGGTCTGGCCCTTCACCGAAAACCGGGGAGGTCCCTCGGGACCTCTAGTCCTGCGAGTCCACTGGACGGGCCGAGGGCGTCCAGATGTCTGGTCAGACTTCCCTCGTGTGTGGTTCCCCAGGGAGTCTGGGGACGCGAGCGACAGTCCCACCGACAGGCCGGAACGGCGGAGGCCTCAGTGGGACAAAGGCCGGTGTCCCCGCGGGAGAGAGATCCCCGCCCCCCCCCAGATGGTGTGGGTGGGGCTCCACCTGCTGCACCGCCCCCTGGGTGGTGGCCCCACGGCCCACCCCCCCACACACACTGGACTCCCAGCCCCCCAGCCGAGTGGGCCAGGTCCTTACAGAGACCCCGGAACCCTGTTCTCTGTCCGTCCGTCCGTCACACCTGGGGTCCCCGACTCGACAGGTCGGGGCGCCGCCACGCAGCCCGGGGAGCGCCGCAGAGAACCGGTCGTCCCTTAGGGCCCTGGCCACAGGCGGCCTAGGACACAGCAGGCTCAGCCGAGGCCGTCTCGGGGGATGGGACCCCGACAGCTGCACCGTGACAGTGGGGGGGGAGCGACCCTGGCGGTCCCCCCACGTGACCTGGGTGACAAGGACACCAGGCCCGCAGCTCCCGCCCACCTCTCTTCCGGTCCCGGGGACGAGGAGTCTCCATCTGAGGCCCTACAGAGTCTTAATTAGCTGGTCTAATCATCACGCTAACACCACGTTTTAGAAGAGGGTTTTCGTGCTCATCCCTTTTGTGCCGCCGTTCCAGTCGGCGGTGAGAGCACGCCGAGTCCGCTTCAGAGGGCAGGCGCCCGGCCCGGGGTCTCGAGGTGGGGGGGGTCCCCGTGTGTCACGGGCACGGCGCAGCTCTGCGTGGTCCCGGCCGGCGGGCGATGTCGCACGCTGCTCCGCCTCACTGCTGGGTGGCATTTCCAAGTGCCCGATGTCACGGAGTTCCGTGTCTCTGTCCCTCCTTCACTGGCCTCCAGGCACCCCCTGTTGTCCCTTCTCTGTAACATACATCCTGGGGCTCGGGTCCCGCTGGGGTCTCCTGCAGGGGGCGAACCCTCACCGCCGTGGGGTCGGAGCCTGCACAGAAGCATGAGGACCCCCACATAGTGCAAGTTCACTCTCACCTCGCAGCAGAGTGTGGGGGGCCGGCCAGCAGACTGTCCACTCGGGGTCGCAGCTGAGAGGACGCGGCCGTCCCCAACAGTGGCCCCCAGGGAGCGGGAGGACGGGGACCCTCGAGGGGGCCGCATGTGGTGCTCCCCCAGGCCAGGGCCAGGCCCTGCTGGGCCCGCAGCACCTGGCTCATGTTCCATGAACCAACGTTAGGTCCCATCGTCACACCTCAGCTCGGGAAGCGGAGGCGGGGCTGGGAAAGCTCTCGGGTGGAGCACCGGCTCGCGGAGCTCAGGAAGCCTGGGCGGCAGCCACAGACCCCCGCCGGGGCTCGGCCAGAGGGGGGGACGGCAGTCGCCCCTCGGCCCACGCACAGGCGGGGCAGATGCTTTCAGAGGAGAACCCAACGCACAGGCAGCAGCCTCCCCAGACGGCGCATGGTGCTGAGTCGTGCTGGTGGCAAAGTGGAGACCCTGTGAAGGAACTGGGCAGCTCTGGGGTCTCCCTGCGGGAGGTAATGGCCCCGAAGCCCCCCACGAACTCATCCCGTGCTCACACAAACGCCACGCCCGGCCCCGTGCTCTCGGTCAGCCCTTCCCAGGCAGCATGACGGACAGGCCGCTAGCAGCGTGCTCACCAACGCCGGGGCGTGCCCGGGGCCCCGAGACCCTGCAGGCTCGGGGGGGGCGCCAGGGTGGCTCCCACGCAGGGAACTGAGGTGCGTGGGGAGGGGAAGGGGAACGCCCGGGGGTCGGAGGGCTGGCTCCGAACCCGGGTCCCGCCATGGCATTTATTCCGTCACTCACCCCTCTGCCAAGCTCCCGTTGTCCGCCACACCCCGGAATTCCTCCAGAACTGCAGTCAGTCCCAGTTCCTCCGAGCGCCTGTCCCCGCGGGGGGCCGGGGGGTGGAAAGCGGATGAGCAAAGGGGAAGGGCCGGCGCAGCTCCCGGTGCTGGGGCTCCTGGTGGTCCCGTCAGAGACGCCCCCTCCTGCCCGCGGGCTGCGGACAGGGCGCTGGGGGGCGGGGCACAGGAGTTGGCACCGACCAATCAGAGCCCAGCAGCCTTCCCTCCCGGGAGCCCCACCCCGGGGTGAGCCAGGGTGAGCCAGGGCTCGCAGCCCGCTGGGATTCCTCCCGGGAGAGGTCCCTGCAGCCCCGGGAGCAGAGAAGCTTTCCAACCTGCTGTGACGGGGCCGTGACAGTTCTGGTCTCGAGCACGTGGTGGACACGGGGCCGGGCGGCTCCCCACACGGCTGGGCCCTGCGCACCCCGAGGCCTGGGGAACCCACCGAGGACCTCCTCCCACTCGGCCGCAGGGGAAGGGCTGTTTCCCCCCAAGCTGCGGATGGAGGTCTCCCCTCGCGCCCTTCACGCCTGACCCAGCGCCCACCCGCCGCCGCCCTCGCCCGCGAGCCCCTCCCAGCATCCAGTGGGGACTCTTCCGATTCCCGGGGCCACGCCCTGGGAGCCCGAGGGAGGGGCGCGCTCACGGGGAATTTTCCGAGTGTCAGTGTTTTCAATAAACAGCACTTTCTTCGCCCGAGTGCTCTCAGGAACATGATCAACATGATTTCTCGAAATTCACGTTCTCAGAATTCGACGTTTGCAAGGCTGTTTCGGCAAGAGCACGCCGCGGGCTGCCTGGGACCCGGCGCCGAAACACGGCGCCTCCATGCTCTCCTTGTTGGCACTGCCGCAGCCGTGAGCTGCGCCACTCCGTCCCGACTCCCCCGCGTCACCGCTGGGGAGAAACCTAGGAGACCCCCAGAGGGAACAGAGCCCCCCCCCCCCAGCACTGGTGCCACCAGCTGAGCCAGTGCTGAACACGGCTGGCTCACAGCACCCTCTGTTCACGTTCCACCTCCTCCAGGAAGTCCCCCTGCCTTCTCTTTCTCTCCCCTTTATCAGCACAGCTGAGTCCTTCTCTCCCTGAGCTACCATTATGCCTTTTACAATGTTTGTATTGTTTTGCTCATACCATACGAAGGTATAGTACTATTTATATCCCTGCTTCTTTATGAAATTACAATGTCCTGAAGGCGGGAACCAAACCTTACTCTTTGGACCCCCCTCCGCCCACCCGCCCCCGCCAGCCCCGGTGCCCAGCAGGTGTCTGTGGCTGGTGGTCCCCTAACTGACTCTAACGCCCCCTAGTGCCCACACTCCACGGGTGGGACCTGGAGACTCTTTTCGGGTCAGTGGAGCGGCCAGGGGTCGGAGTCCCTTCTGAGGTCCGGCCTTTCTCAGGAGCTCCCTGCGGCCCCCAGAGCCAGGCCCCCAGGAAGCGGCTCTGGCCTCTGAGCGGCTGTGAGGCTGACGAGCAGGGACTCAGGACCCTGGCGGAGGGTCCTCCCTCTGCCCCGCCCGAGATGCCTGCATCCTGGGAGCCCCCACGGTGACCCACAGACCCCGAAAGAGGACCGCTGGGCCGCAGAGACCAGGGTGGGGGCTACAGACTGACTTGTCACCCGGCGGCCACGACGGCCGCGCGCCCGGTTCTCACCGTGAATGGAACTGAAGGGAAGAGAACCCCACCCCCGTCTGAGGACCAGGCAGCAGGAGCGTGGGAGGGACTCGCCGCCTCCAAGCCCCAGACTCCGAGGCACGACAGCCTCGTCTGAAATCCAGGCGGAGTGTTTTGGACGAGCAAGATCAGGTCGAGGTCACGGGCAGGCGGGGCGATGCGGTGGAAAAGAGCATGACCCGGGCGAGTGCAGACCCTGGGGCTGCCGAGTGGTCACATGGTGACCGAGGAACGGGAGCACTCAGCTGGCCCTGGGGGTCCTGGCAGCACCCCGAAACCCCCGTTGGAGGAACACCCACAGACACCCCCCCCCCGAGGCCGGGCGCTCCGCGAGGAGCCGGGCACGTGGGGACCAGCACACGCCACCTCTGTGCCCCGGACTCTGACACGCAGGACAGCCAGCACCCCGGCAGTCTGGGGCCCGAAGGGACCCACGGCCGGGTCTCCCTGTGCCTCACCCCCCTTAGCACACGACACCCTCCAGAGGTTCCGTGGGACAAACAACGTTTGTTCTAATAAAATAAACGGCTTGCCATGGCTTTTGAGGAGCCGGAGGGTGAGAGGCCTCGGCCACGTTGTCAAGCACCCAGCCTTTGGGGACACACAAATGAGGGGGCGCCCCGCCGTCAGAGGTGGGCTGGGTGGGCTGTTTCGAACAGGCTCCGAAGGGAACCATTTTCATTAACATCAGGGTCGGCAGGCCACAGGGACGCCGGAGGCCACCGAGCCACGTCCCCCATCCCCCAGGTGTCCTGGCTGCAGAGGCGCTGCAGGGGGCAGCCCCTGGCCTCGGGGAGCAGGGGGTAGGACACAGCCGGGCAGCTGCCCGGGTCTGCCCCCTCAGTGTGGCCAGGCCTCCGTGGTGACAGGAGAGGTCGGTCTGACCTTGGTCTCCTGGGCAAGGACGCCCTGGCCGGCAGGCTGGCCCAGCGCCACGTCCTCTAACTTCGCCGCCACCGGCAGGAACGGAGGGAGTCACCTCCGCCGTTGCTTGCCTGCCTGTGCAGCTTTTCCGCGCCGTCGTCAGAGAGACCGTGAACCCGCGCCGCAGACAAGGAGGCAAACGGGTCGCGTCACGCGGCTCGCGGCCGAGAGCAGCCATTCCGACGCCCCACTTGTCCTCCGCTCGGAGCCGGGCGGAGGGCCGGAAGCCACCACGCAGACAGCCGGGCCCGGTCACAGCGACACCGTCTGTGCGGAGACGCGAAAGCACACACTGGGGGAGATGGGCGGAGGGAGACGTGGGGGGTACGGAGAAGGGGGGAGCGAAGTGCCGGAAGCAGACTGGGATCGTCACGCTGGGAGGGAGGGAGGGGGGAGGGACTGGGACCGCGGGGGTCCGAAGAGGCAGCCGCGGGTGAGCGATTCCCGCCGAGTCACGGCCCGGAGCGGTTACCAGGGCAAACACACACACCCCCACTCGGTCAGAATGCCGTCCACAATAAAACCACCGAGAACCCCGGTGGAAAGTGGACAAAGGGTTTGAATGGACGTTTTTCCAAAGAGCGCACACATGTCAACAGCAGCCGCCACCAGGGAACTCGAATCAAACCCCAGAGAGACGTTACCTTCACCACCACGCTGGGTGGGCTCCGTCGGGATGCGGGGGGTGGCCCCCATGGGAGGGAGTGGGGCCGTGGGGCCCCGGGCCCCCGCAGGGCCGGGCGTGGGAAACGGCGCGGCCGCCGAGGAAGACCATCCCTCCCCCACAGCGCTGAAGGCAGAGTGACCGGGTGACCCCGCAGTCCCACACCGAGGAACACACCCAGCAGAAAACAGTCCACCCAGAAATCAGAAAGGAGACGCCCCTTGTCCTCCCCCAACCAACTCTGACCTCAGCCAGATGATCAGACCCACTGCACCCCGAAACCGGCCCAGGCCGTGGGCTCAGACCGCTGCAAACCAAGGTGCGTTTCACGAAGCAGAGACGCCCCCAAACGTGCGTGAGCTGGGGCGAAAGTTCCTTTAAAATAAGGAAGCACAGGGCGCGGCCCCCGGCCAAGTGCGCACGGCACTCGGTGCACACGTTTCCGAGCTCTGGGCTGCACCGGTTTCTCCACCGCCTCGCCGGCTGCGCCCAGACGTGAGCCCAGCCCCCCAGGAGAAGCCTCCGCTCCAGGGAGCCTGGGGGGCAAGGTGGGGGCCCACGGCCGTGTCGGCACAGCCCCCCAGGGCGGCTCACCCGGGTGCCGCACTGGCAAGCCCATTTGGCTGCCCATGAAACATGACTTTCTCCAAGTAAAGCTGCCCTGCACGGGAGGTGCCACGGAGCCACCACGGAGCCACTCCCATCCACAAGGACAAAGCGGGGGGGGGGGGGGTTGGTTAGAAGCCAGCAGGGTGACAACTGGCTGACCGGGACAGAGGCAGGACGCGGGCCTTCCGCAGCGGGGCCCAGGCCTCCGCAGCCTCGGACCCCTGGTTTCTCCTGTGCAGTGACGTCTCCCAGCCCCAGCTCCTCCGTCCCTTGAGAGAGCGTGACTTGGGCAGGGACGGCTCCCGGGGAGCTCAGGTGTCCCCAGTTCCCGAGGTGCCTGGGGAGCCCCCGTGAACAGAGGAGGGCGCGGAGTGGAAAGGGCAAGGACGGGTGTCCAGGGAGGACGTGTCAGTGTCTTCGGCGGGCTGGCTGCCTGGTCACCGCCCCCCCGGGGCCACCAGTCGGGAGGAACGGTCCAGAAGGCGGACTGGACCTGCCACCGGGGAGGCTCTGCAGCCTAGACTGTCCACGCTCCTTCTTCCTCCTGACAACTGCTCCCCACACGCGCCCTCCGACTGACCGCTGGGATGCTTCCTCCACACGGGTGGCGGGCGCCCTCGGAAGGCCGGGGTCCCTTAAGTGTGTGTGGGGCCCCTCCCGCTTTCTTGGGGTCCCACGGAGGCTAGGCTCAGCCCTTAGTTCAGTGAGGCCCCTCGTGGCGGCAACCGGCACACAAACCCGGGCTCCCAGCAGTCCAGGGGCCCCCGAGGGCTGGGCGCCCGCTGGTCAGGAGCCCCCGCCAGCCCCGAATCTGCTCGCTAGCAGGGGCCTGCGGGCGAGGCCCTCGGGCTCTGCCTCTGGTCCTCTCTGCGACACGGGCGAAGACGCCGCCCTCAGGGACTGGAGGACCCAGCCTCCACGTCGGGCTGGGCCGGGATCAGGGGACCGCTCTGGAGTGCTTCCTGCAGAGGCCGCCACATCCCGTCCCCTGTCCCCGGTGGCCAGGGAACAATGAGCACAGGACACCGGGCTCAGCAGCTCCGCTCCCTGGGGCTCACCCGTGGGCTCTGGCAGCCAAGGTGCTCCCACGGGGGCAGCATCCCAGCGCAGCCCCCAGACCCCCAGCCCCTCGCCCCCGACACACACACACAGAGTCTCCCGCGTCCTGGGTCCGAGTGCGGGTTCCGGGCAGGACCGACGCAGTCCCTGGCTGTCTCTCCTGTGCCCCCGGCACAGGTCGGGCGGGCACAGCCGTCCCTGTGGGGCCGCACGGCTCTCCTCAGGCGGAAGGGCCGGCCTGGGCCCCCAGCTGGCGGCACCCCTTGGCGAAGCAGCAGGATGCAGGCTCCGCTTGCCAGGCCACCACCCGGCATCCCCTCTCCTGCCACCGCTTGTCCGTGGCCCTCGTCCCCCTTCCCAAAAGCCACACGGAACACAGGGCCCGTACGTCCACCGTGCGCCCCGGGGAAATCCTTGGCCTGCGTGCGCTGCGCTGGTTTTTTTAAACACACGCCCCCGTCCTCTGAAAATGCAGGCTCTTCCCCAGACAGAGCAGCAGCCGGTCCCTGTTTCAGGTCTGGGAGCACACGGCAGAGTCACGTGCCCGCGTCCGAGCACACAGCCAGGGGCAGCTGGTCTCCGTAGCGTGCGGCCGGCAGGCTGGACGCGGGACAGATGTGCACCGGCCCCGTGCGGGGCCTGTCAGACCATCCGTGGAGCCCGGATTCACGGAGCTGCAGCTCTGCTCCGGGGCGGGGCAGCCACGTGGGACAGGCCCCCTCCACCCCCACTGCTCGGCCGCCCACTCCCTAACCCTGTGACCTCCCCCCAGGTGCCAGAATCAGTCCGTTCCCTAGAATCGCCATCGCCGTTGTTTGGAGGAAGCCGCCATTGCCGGCCCAAATCACAGAGGTCATGCTCAACGCATCCGTTCAAAGCTCTAAAATTATCTGCCACGTTCAGACACAGTTCTGACGCGCTCCTGATTGCTCCGGCACCCGGGCGCCCGTCTGTGGCAGGAGCCCTCTCCGCGGAGAGGATGCCCAGGGGCACGTACAGGTCAGCCAGTGGGCAACGGTGTTCCGGGCGGATCAGTCACCCCACGATGGGGCTCAGGCGTCTCCCTGAAACCAGACCGGACGGCGCTGCCCGCCGTGGCAGAGGGAGCGGTCTCTTGGCTCGGGGGGCTGGGGGCTGTGCGGCCGTGACGCTGCCTTGACGTGGACCCGGGGCCCTGGAGGGGTCACGGGAAGGCTGACCTGCGGGGCCGGCTCTGGCGCCCCACCCCCACCCCCGGCAGCACACCTGGGGCTGCTGCTGGGCACACTCCTCTCTCGCTCCCAGGTCAGGTGGCCCACCACCGCCCCTTAGCTCTCAGGCCCAATGTCCCTGCCCTGGGGGAGGACAGGAGGGAGGGAGGCAGGGGAGAAGGGCGACGGCCACAGACAGGGGCGGAGAGGTCCCTGCATCGTGGCCAGAGGTGTCCCTCGAGGGCGGGGAGCCGAGGGGGACGGTGGGGGTGGTCCAGGTGGCTCCCTGCCACCACGCTTGCTGGTCAGAAATGGGCTCCCAGGCCCCACCCGAGCTGCACCTGGACGGCGTACCCAGGGGCTCACCTGAACTTCTAGGCGTGAGCACCCAGACCCGGGTGGGTCGAGTCAGGACGGAGGTCAGGCGCCACACCTGCGGTGGTCGAGGGGGACCCTGAGCCCCAGGAGGGGCCAGGCGGGCTCCTGGCTGCCATCTGTGAGCGGTGGGATGTCAAGAGGGGAGACACCAAAGGGCTGTCCAGTAAGGGGGGGTGGGGGGCTTGCACCCCTCAGGCCAGGGCCAGAGGGACAGGCCTCGGGCCTGGCAGGGAGAGGCTCCAGCAGCCAGAGCCAGCCCCTCGCAGAGAGAGCCACGCTGGGGGGTGGGGGTGAGTGCCTGTCACCAGAGCCCCGAGCTGAATGTCGGGGACTCAGTGAGGGCATGGCCATGGCCTCCAATCACAAGGCAAGGAAGGCATGGCATTTCCTCCAATCACCTGGCAGGGCTAGGGAGGGCGTGGTCCTCTCCAATCACAGGGCAGGGGCAGGGAGGGAGTGGTCATCTCCTTCAATCACAGGGCAGGGGCAGGGCGTGGTCATCTCCAATCACAGGGCAGGGCTAGGGAAGGCGTGGCCATTTCCTCCAATCACAGGGCAGGGGCTGGGAGGGCGTGGTCATCTCCAACCACAGGGCAGGGGCTGGGTGTGGCCATCTCCTCCAATCACAGGGCAGGGGCAGGGAGGGCGTGGTCATTGCCCATTTCCAAAACGCTGGGCTCTCCGGATCGGAGTGTCAACGGCAAACCCAATGGGCTGTCCCTGGGGAGCTCAGAACCAGGAGGGTGAGTGAGGAGACGGCACCGGAGACGACGGCCAGTCCCCGTGCAGGGAAGCAGCAGGCACGCCTGGCCTGGGCTGCGGGATGGAGGGAGACCGGGGGGAAGGGGCAGGAGGTCGCAGCCCAGGCCCACACTGTGGGAGCCTGCCCCGTGGCCCTCCAGTGGGGGTGTGCGGGGAGTCGGGAGGGGTAAGGGCGGGAAGGGAGGCCCGAAGGTCGTGAGAAGCCGAGAGAGGACGCCGCGCAGAGCAGAGAGGAGCCAGCGGCCCCTGTCTGCATGAGAGGAAGGAAGCTGGGCGGAGTCCGGGGCAGCACGGACTGCAGTGCGTGTGCACACACCCGTGTGCACGTGTCAGAGGGGCGAGCACACCCTCGAGGCAGAGGGACCCGGTCAGGGGTCTGGGGATGAGGAGACCCGGAGAATTGGGGGGGCCAGGGGCCCTATCCGGGTGGTTCACAGGCAGGTGTCAGTTTGGGATGAAGCCAAGACTGGGGTGGGGCCCGGTCAGCCGCGGTCAAGGCCCCCTGTGAGTCTTCTAAGCTGAGAGGCCCAGGGGCAGCGGGAATCGCAACTCTGGAGCGCCGAGAGAAGTCGGGGGTGGACAGGGATGCAGGGCCTCGGCATGAGTGGGGCTGCAGCGGTGGGGGGAGCCGAGGCCCTTGGGACTGTCCCAGGGCACGAAGGGGCCAAGCAGGGGACCCAGGGGCAGAGAGAGCAAGACCGGGAAGGGAGGGGCGAGCTGGATGGCAGTGGCGGCTGGGGGCTGAGAGGACAGGCTTGCACACAGGGACAGAGTGGACAGAAGGTCCCGTGGATGAAGTGTCCACGGCCGGGCCCAGGGCGGCTGCTGAGGCTCCCTCCCAGCCTGCTCCCCTTCTTCCTCCTCCCGCCAGCCCCATCGCTCTGTTCCCTGCTCCCCGGCAGCCCCCGAGGTCCAGCCACAAACACGCAGGATGTCGTGCTCAGAGGCCCTGACTGAGCGAATGGCTGAGGCTTTGCCTCGAGCCCTGACGACGGCCGGGGACCCGGCAGCAGGCACCCCTCCGGGCTGATGCCGGCAGCCCTGCGGCTCCAGCTGCACACAGATGCGGAGGCCACTGGCAGCCCGGACCTGGGGCGCAGCGCTCCTGGGGCGGGGGGGCGGGGTGTGGGGCAGTCCCCGGAGCAGAGGTGCGTGTGTCAGGGCCGAGGCAGGTACGGCCCCCCCCAAACACCTGCAAGGACTCCTCGTGCTCTGGCTGTGCCACACCAGGAGTGCATGCACACACACGTGTGTGTGTGCGTGCACGTGCACAAACATGCATGTGTGTGAGTGCACCCACACCTGTACATGCAGGCACACGTGTGAACACATGCAGGCAAGCATGTGTGCTCTTATGTGACTGTATGTGGCAGTGCGCTCACATAATCGGGCATGTATGAGTACACGAACATGTGCGTGCGTGCACACGCCGGCTTGCACAAACATGCGTGCGCACACACTCTGGCTTTATGTCTCCCCCAGGGATGCGGACACCTTCGCTGTGGCTGCTCAGGCGCCTGGGAGAAGCTTCCGGCCCCCGCCCCCGCCCCCGGCTCTGCTGCTGGAAGCCGTCCCGGCGCAGCGCTGCTCGGCTGTCATCTGGTCAGAGACGCTGACAGGCGCAGGCAGGCCGCCAGCTCGCCCCGCGCGCCACTTGGAGGTTGGGCTGGCAGATGAACCGGTCCTGGGAGGGGCCCGGAGGGAAGATTTCACATTCACGTCTCCGCTGCGCCGCGCCCCCGCGCTCCGGCTCCCAGCTGCAGCGGGGAGGGCTGACAGGCGCCAGCCGGGCGCGGGCAGATGGTGCGGCAGGGCCCGTCAGAGCCGGACGCGGCGCTGCTCCCGCGGAACCGGGGCCTGCCCACCCGGAGCTGAGCGGCGCTGGAGGCACTCCGGCTCATTCCGGCTCATGCCGGCTCCTTCCGAGCCAGAGTCAGACCCTGCCGGGCAGGCACTGACCTCTCGTTCTCAGAGCTGCTTCAGCGGGGACGGGTCCCCGGCAGGGGCCACCAGGACAGGCCCCGCGGGCGTCCCTGAGCTCCGGCCCGTGGCAGAGGAGTGGCTGGGTGTGAAAGTGGCCATTCACACCCAGGGGAGGAGCCTGGACAGCCCGGGAAGGCCCGGGCTCCAAAACACGCTCTTTCCCGCCCCGGCGGCCGGAGGCCACGCCCCCGCCCCGCCCCGCACTGCCAGGACCTGCGGCTTCGTGACGTCAGCAGGGGCGTCTCCCGATTTCAGACCCTGAGCAGGAAGACGCACGTGGCGAGTTCAGCCGCCATCCTCCAGCCCCCCTGTAGTCTAAGTCCCCGGCTGGAACACAGACACCTCGCCGGGGCTGCGGACGCGGTCCTGGATGCGGGGGGCGTCCCGTGCCGGCGGCCAGCCCGACTCCTGGGCGCAGAGCAAGGAAGCGGGGTCCTCGTCCACCGGGGCGTCTGCTGCTCCCTGGGGCTCCGGCGGGCTCCGCGGGCCCGGGGGGCCCGCGCCTGTGCAGCCTGCTCCCCAAAGCCTGTCCCGAAGGCTCCCCATGGACGCCCACCCGTGGAGGCCCCTTCAGGGGAGGCCTGGCCCACGCCTGGGACGCTGTCCAAGTTGGTGGCTTCCCCACGGAGCGGCTGGGACAGGGGCGGCAGCTCTGGGGTGACCTGGTTCGGTGGGTCGGGGTCGGGGTCACCCCTGCCCGACCCTGGGGTGTGTGTTCGTTAGCACGTGTGAGCTCCCCAGGTGGTGGGCGGCAGGTCAGGCCTTCTCTGTCCCTGTGAGCCACAAGGAAGCCACTCGCACCGTGACTGGTACCGGCGCGGCCTGTGTGTGCACACATACACACACACACACGCACGCGCACACGGCCCTCCCAGCGTGCACGGCGGCTCGGGACTCCCTGCAGGACCCAGCCCTCCCCGACCCCTCCCCGACCCCTCCCCTCCGCTCCTCTCCCCGGCCCATCCCACGATTCGGCGACAAGCCCTCTCTCTGCAGCTGCGGAAACATGGCTGGCCGACTCACTGCGACGAGTCACGTTGTCAGGGGTGGCCACCCCGTGTGGGTCCACGGAGGATGGCGTTGTCGCCGTGGCCCTGCTCCCAGAGGCGGCCGCGGGCGAACAGGCCAGGGCTCCCGTGAGTCGAGACCCCGGTGGTCGCTGCAGACGGAGTGTCTCTGCCGGGAAGCCCTGTGGACTCTGCACAGGGGACAGAGTCCTGTCCAGGTCACGTCCCTGCCCGGGACCAACCTTCCTCCCTGCTCGTCAGGCGCCAGGTGCTTGGCGCTCACCTGGCACCTACCCCACGGAGCGAACCGTGAGGTCACCTGCGCCGCCCATCTCACTGGTGAGGGCTCTGAGGTCCAGTCACCTGGCCTACACGTCCCCTTGATGCCAGGTGCTCTCTCTTCCCACCACCCGCTGGCGTTCCCAGTTGGAGGATGTGCTTCTCCGTGGAACAAGGTCCCGTGGCCGGCGTCCCCTCCATGGCTTGACGGCAGGGCCTCAACTCAGCAGGAGCGTGGAGCCTGGGCGCCTGCCGCCGTGAATGCCGTGCCCGACGCCGACGCTGACGCCGGCCACAGAGCAGGTGCACAGCCCCCACGGCAGGTGCAGAAGGGGGGCCAGCTGGGGCCCCCACCGGGACTTCCTCCCTCAGGGCCTTTTGACGTGGCCCACCCACCGTGGGGCCTGAGGGCCCGGCCAGTTCCCCCTCCACGGGGGACAGCCGCCCAGAGGGCCGGTCGCACTAACCCACCGCGGTGACACTCTGAACCCCGACCCACTCGCCGTCCTCGGCTCCCGGTCCTTCCACGAGCCTCCAGAGCTGGCGGCACGGAACGGGCGCCCTGCCTCCTGGGCCCCACACGCCGGGGTCCAGCCTCGTCTCTGGTTCCCTCCCTGCGCCCGACAGACACACCCCTGCTGGGTGGGGGGGAGGGCGGGCCTGGGAGGCAGCCCCTGTGGGCGAGGGGGGTCCAGGCAGCTGAAGCCAGACCGGACGAGTCCTGCGAGGAAGTCAGGGGTGGCCGCGGCTGCCAGCGCGGACGGGGTGTCAGCGGAGCTGCCGCAGCCGCCCGGGGGGTGGGGCGGGAGGCTCGTCTGTGCCGAGGGAACCGGACGTGGCTTCCTGCTGGACCCCAGCCGCAGCAGCGGCGCTGCAGACGGCGGGAACGGGGAGACCCGCGCACTTCCTGCAGCTCTCGGACCAGCCACGGCCATCCTCGGCCTCTCCACTCGCACGTGAAAAAGCCAATTTCCAATTATTTTCAACTTGCCGCTCACGCTATTGCTAATACGGCTGTAATTACCTATCGGCACGTTCAATTTCCACCACGCGGAAATCAATAAAACTCTAGACCTTTAATAAGCGGGGAAAATTCCACTTGTGGTTGTCATCGGTGTGTGAAGCGACCGTGTGAAACTTCTGGAAGCGGCCCCCCATCTCACCCGCTTTAGGCCGGAACTCGGCGGGCGGCTCGGACCGGGTTCGAGGCCAAGGGTGGGAAACGGGGGTGGGGGGAGGACGGAGGGGCCCGCTGCTGCTTCGGGGTCTCCCGGCCGCCTGCTTCGGGGGGGGGCCTGCTCCCCGCGTCCAGGGCTAGCGCCAGACGTCCCTGCCTGGGGCGTCTGCTCCCCCGCCTACGCCCGTGACCGCTCCTCTCCCCAGGGCGGCGCCCGCAGCTCGGCCCCCACAGCAGAACCTCTGGCTCCCGCAGGCCCCACTGGCCGGCAGAGGCCTCGGGTCCCTCCCCTGGCTCCGCCCACACCCTCCGCCCCCTCCCCCACGCGCAGGCCTCCAGCCTCTGGGACGAGGGTCTGGGGAGAGACGATGCCCCTGTCACGGCTGCAGAAGCGCATGTCCCAGGCAGCGCCCCAGCCCCCCAGCCGGTGGGAAACGGGGCCGGGCTGGCTTCTAGCCTCTCGCTGCACAAACCCCAGCGCCCGACGGAGAGATTTCAGAGTGTCACCAGCTTCTCACCCCACGGAGTGACCTCTCATCGGCGGGTGTCAGTGAGCCCCCCTGTTCCTGGGAACTGACGCTGAGCGTGTCGATGGGACCATCTCAGTGGGATCGGGCATCTCCGCTCGGCTCAAGGACGGGCAGCTGTCCGGCCCCAGGTCTGCCCGGCCGAGCTGTGGGGGCCGGGTAGGGTGTTCCCCGCCTCCAGCCCACCCAGCCACCAGCAGTAGCCCCCGCCCACTTCAGGGGCGGCAGGGGGTGGGGGCCACACCGGAGGTGGGGGGCTCGGAGCCCTCAGCATCACCCGCAGGTCCTGGTCTGGGGTCCCCTCAGGCACCTGCCACGTGGGACCCGGCTGCGCAGCCTGGGCGGCCCACAGGCCTCCGTGCCGCCCCTCCAGGACAAGCACTGGCTCACGCACGGCCCGGCCGGCCCTGGGTGGGGCCTGGTTTGTACGAACATGTAACGGTCGCCAAGCACGCGGCCACTGACATGTCCCCGCATCTGCAGCCGGACAAGCCACTCGCTGCCCCTGGTGGCCGGAGCCCGGTGCCTGGCCTGCGTGTGTGCCTCCCAGCCTCCCGGCGGCCCCGAGTCACCTCCGGCCGGCCAGCGCGGGGCCCAGCAGGCCCGGGCTGCCAGGCACTCCCGCCCTGGGCAAGCTCCAGGCGGCTCCCGCCCCCGTGGCGGCTCCCCGGGCTGTCGGAGTGGACGGTGTCTGCCTGAACGGGGCTGGCTGTCACTCCCCTGGAACGCTGAGTCATTCTCCATCGCCGGTTCCTGCTCGGGGTCTCAGCCTCTGACGCCGGCGTCCTCCGGGCACCTCTGCAGGGCACCTGAGGTCACTGCTCTCGTGGCCACAGCATCTGGGCGGCAGGTGAGGCTCAGCCGGGCCGGGGCAGAGAGCGCGGGTGTTTGGAGGAGAGGGCCGTGTCTGACCACCGAGAAGCCGATTCTGCCGCCCTGGGAAGGTGCAGCCCTCAGGACTGACCTTGCCCCTCCACGGGCCAGGCCGCACCGGCACCCCACCCTCCGCAGCGACGGCACTCAGCACACAGGACTCACCGGCTTTCTCACAGGGAGCGGCTCACACGCAACCTGGGTCCTCGGCTGCGCCCTTGCGCAGTCAACGTCTGAGCACCTACCGAGAAGACGGCCGCGTGGGCCCTGAGACGGCTGTTCCCTCGGCAGCCAGCAGCGTGCCCACTGCCCAGGCGCTCGGTGAACGAACGTTTGTGGGCGAGGACAGAGGTTGGGGTTCGAGGCCCGGATGCGGGGCCAGCCCGTCTGGCTGAGGCCTGTGGTGCCCTGTGGATGGCGGCCGGCCGGTCCAAGCAGAGGCCACACTACGAGGGGGAGGGGCAGTGGCCCACTCGGGGTGATCTCTGCACCCCCACTGCCCCGGGCATCCGGGATGTGGACAATGAGCGCCGATCTGTCCCCCCAGGGTGGGCACGGGTGCAGGGTTGGGTACGGGGTTGGCTTCGGGGACAGGAGGGCAGGGAGATGCGGCTCAGCCCTGGAGACCACGAGGGAGAGTGGAGGTTATAGCCCAGGAGCAGAGTGGGGGGTCTCGGGGAGGGGAACTCCTCGGAGGGGAGGGGCCACTTGCTCAGCCTGCCTCAGAGGGGTCTTGCTTAAGGCAGGCCGGAGCGGTGGGCCCTCCCCTGGAACGAGGGGACACCGAGGGTGACCAGTTACTAAGGGCAGGGCTCTGGCCACACTGACTCGACTGGACTGTGGCCAGCAGGGGGCCAGGGCGGAGGGGCCTGAGGTCCCAGGACGGGCCTCGCCGGGCGACCGGCAGTGGCCCTCAGTCTCGCAGGTGACAGGTGACAGGCGAGGTCCAGGGAAGGGAGCAAAGCTACAGTGGCCGAGGAGCCGGCGGGCAGCCCGGGCCGGAGGCCTCGGCCACACCCGCAGAGCTGGGGGGGAACCGAGCGGGCAAGGAACTGGGTTGGCTCCACAACGCGGGGCGTTCGGCTGGGTGGCCGCGCGGCCCCAGCAGGGCGGGGTCCTCGGCCCTGGCGGGGGGCTGGGCCGTCTGGGCTCCCCTGGCTCCGCCCCGACGAGTGGGCGCAGGGCACCGTGCTCTCCGGGTGCGCTCCAGGCCCGATCTCCCACCCCTGTCCTCGCCTCCTCCCCTGCTACCTACCGCCTGACTCGGGGTGGGGGGGGGGCTTGGGGGGGCGGTGCAGGAGCAGAAAGGGTCCCCTGTCCTGCAAGGGGGGGACTTTCCCCTAACGCGGGTCCTGAATAAACACACAGCCTGAGCCCTCTGCTCACGGTTATCAAAGACCTGAAAAAATCCCACAAAAACGTGCGGTCTTCTGCAGAGTGGGGACCCACGGAGCCCCGGCCGTCTGTGGGGTGCACCGTCCCACAGGCACGGGGTGGGGGGGGTGACGTGGCCGCCCCCGAGACGGGCTCCCCAGAGTCCCTGCTGCCCCCTCCCCGCCCCCGGAAGCCACGAAAGGCCGCCCTCCCCGGCTGTGGAATCGGCTTCTCTCTGCGCTATTTTCTCCTGCCGAAAGGAGTTCAAAAGTTGAGAGCTGATTAGTATTCCAGGCACCGGGACGGCTGCGAACCAGCTCGGGGCGCATGGAAGCCGCAGCTCCCGCCCCGTGGAGACCCCGCTCCCCCCCCACAAAGTGGAGGGCTCGGCAGCCGGCTCCCCTCCCCGCCTCTAAAATAATCATGTCCCTGCGTGCGCTGCTCCTCTCTGTGATAATAACAGCCCGTCCGCGGGCGGGCGGGGTTCAGGGGATCTCCACGGGGTTGCATTCCGGGCCTTTCCAGCGCAGCGGGCACGCCATTTGCATACATTTGTGTAAGTTATGCATCTGTGTACAGCCCCCCTTAACGCTGCAGCCTAATGAAGCCACTCAGAGGCGCATGAGAAGCAGGATTTACAGGGAAGCCTGACCCAGCCGCGGTCCATCGCCCGAACGGCCGGGCCTCCGTGCAGACCTGCACCAGGGACACATTCCAGTGGCCCTGACCCCGGTCTCCAGAATTCATGGGGCAACCGGGCTACCTTGGGGCGGGGGCGGGGGCGGGGGGACACGTCCACAGTTTCCCCGAGGCCACCCGGGGCACCTGGGATCTCTGGCGGCCCCGGAGTCCCTAGGACACCCCCAAGCCTGGGTGCCCGGCATTGCTGGGCAGAGTCTCCACACCAGACTGACTTTATTAACCCTCATTGTGCACAGGTAAATCTGTGGCTTTGTAGCGACAGGAGGGGGGCAGAAAGGTCGCCCGGGAGACTGGCGTTCGCCTCCTGAGACCGCAGGGCCCTGTGCACGCGGGGCGGAGGCAGCGAGCCAGCGCGGCCCTGCCCCGGGCTGCCGGCCTCTCGAGGCCGCTCACGCGCGGGCACGTCCAGCTCCCGCGGAGCTGATGGGTTTGGATGCTTCTGGGGGGCGGAGGGCCTGACACCCCCCCTTCCTGCCCTGCGTGTGACACGCGGTGTCTCTCACGCAAGCGTTTCTCTCCAGAAATCCTCCAGTCAGCAGAGAGAGAAGCTCGTCCACGGTGGGGGGGCTGGTCACGGGTTCATGGAGCCCCCGGCTGCCCCGGCCCCCCGCCCCGAAGCCCGCCCTGGAGGAGCTCCCCCTCTGACCTTGCGCTCGGGGGCAGCGTCCTGGCGGAAGCCCTTCCCCAGCACCTCGTCCAGAGCAGGACTGCGGGGCTGGGGGCTGGGACCCACATGGGGAGGACTCTCCCCTCTGAGCATGAGCCAGGAGGTGGCTCGGGAGACCCCTCAGACCCCTGGGTCCCTGTTAATCTTTTAATCACAGGGCCCTGGCCCCCGAGGCCCCCAGACCCCACAGCCAAGTGGACATAAAAGAGCTGTGGGCCACACCTGGGTGACCCCGAGTTAGGTTGCGTCTCTGGACTCTGACCCCCAGTCTCAGGCTGGATGGCCACATCACCTC